CGAGGCTGCCAGCGGGGCACCCTAGGCAAGGGTGCGTGGGTGGGGGAATTAATTCACCCCCGAAAAGACGTCCTAGCTGGTTTTTCAGGGCTCAAAAAAAAATAATACCCGGCCTTATTATATAAGAAACACAGTATACATACACACACAAACGTGTGTGTATGTATGTATGTATGTATATCTCACATATACTATTATTTGAAGTCCTATATTTATCGGGATTAGGATTCATGGAATGTACTTTTAAATACATTCTGACATTTAATTTGGCTTTCAAATGGTTATTAATGTTTCTAGAACACAGCTGGTTGTTTTTACATTTAGCTTTATTTAAAGAAAAATTAGGGGAAGGTGAAACGTGCCTACCGTCCCTGTCCTATTGTTTCTCTTATTCTTTTATTTTTCTTATATGTACCCATTTCATATATTCACAACTATGTATACACTTGTACTTATTATCTTGTAAACAATTGACAAATCAAATAAATAAATAAATAAATAAATAAATAAAATAAATAAATAAATAGAAGGGGCATTTGGATCGGTGCAGGTTATAAATAGTATGCAATAAATAAAAGTATATGCAGGCAAATTTTAAATTATTAGTTTTTTTCAGGTGCTAATACAGTAAATAGAAAATGTTAAAAAGAGTACATAACAGAATTCTGTGTAGTCTTAGTTTGAAATATATCCCAGTAGGTGTATTTGGCAAGAATATAAATAAAATGCTATCTATGCCTTCTCTTGCAGAATCCTGGATTTGACTTCAGTGGAGCAGAAATTTCTGGAAATTATACCAAAGGCGGGCCAGACTTTTCTAGTCTTGAAAGATAATGTGTCCTTTCAGCTATATTTCCTCCAGTTTGTACAAAATGACAAAGCATTAAGCTTCAAAATAGCTTACTGTTTTTTTCTGGACAGCTTTAAACCACAAAATAATGATTGTTACCAGAATTGCACTAACGTAATTAAAAATAAACATTTCATGCATACTGAGACCAATATTATTGGTATGATGACACTGTTGTGCAAAGTTAACAGCAGTTTCAATTGCTACATTTTAAATTGTTAATTGATATGCCAGTAATATTTTTTTGAAAGTCTGATCTGGCTTATTCTTTGGCAAAATATATAAGTGAAAAACATTACTACCTAAATGCTCTGGCTTTTTCCACTGGCAATTAACTAAAATAACTTAGAAATATGGAAATGTATTTTCAAATACATTGTTGCATGGTATAAGAACAAATTTTGAAGGCTAATGATTAAAAACAGATTTTCTATCCTGAAAATTTGTACTAAGCCAGCTTCAACACTATTTCACATAGTCATTAAAACTAGTAATGTTAAAATCTGATATAATTACCTTCCATAAATTTGTGCCAAACTGTACTGTCAGTCAAACCATAACATGCAATATGCATCCTTGGGTAAAGCCATTTAGCATTCATAAATTTACCCTGACACTCTTTACAAGAATAGGAGTTCCGGTGTGTACATTCTCTTAATAAAATTCATAGAACCATTTTGTACACTTTAAATAACTATTTCATGCTTTTGACTTTTGCTGTTTTGACTAGGGGTACCTTTGTGTTATATATCAAACTTACTGGAACACTCGATAAAATAATTCAAGCATGTGAACTTATTCATGTGACATAGTTCTGTTTGATCTGGCACTTATATTTTTCTGCAGCCCAAGGTGTGTTTTATACTCAAGTATGTAACACTCTTGTTAAAAAGATCTAGATTGTATCCACTGATGTTCTTTTTCTGGGCTACCCAAAAAGTTCCCTTTTGCATCCCATATTGGCTCCAGCATGTTAGGGTATATGGAACCAGTGGCAGGACAAAACACTGAGCTGAATTCTCATTGAGTGACTGAAAATCCATTTGGACAACATGGCATATATCTTTTGTTTATACATGTAAGAAGAAAGTACATACTTCGTATGTAATTAAAAATTCTAATAGTTGTACCACATTTTGCTTTATGCATGTATATACTCATCCAATTAACAGAATGAGAGATAATTGTAGTCTGATTCACTCCCTAACCATGTGTGTACCCTATCTAATTTTTGTATCTTTATGCTTAGACATGTTTAGTTATCTATAGTTAAGTCAAGTAGTAATTTTCATGTTTAAAAAAGATTTAAACTACCTCACAGTTTGTTCTATAGTATGTTTTAATTGTACATTGCCAGGGAATGCCAAGTGTTTTGTCTGCCAAGAATACAAGGCTGCTATTTCAGCTATTAAGATGCCACAAGGAGAACTTGTATTGTTTATACAAATTGAGAAAATGGAATCAATAAAATTGATTTTGTATTCCTAAGGCAGACTTGAATACAAAGCGAGAGGAAAGGAAAAATACACTGCTCAAAAAAATAAAGGGAACACTTAAACAACACAATGTAACTCCAAGTCAATCACACTTCTGTGAAATCAAACTGTCCACTTAGGTAGCAACACTGATTGACAATCAATTTCACATGCTCTTGTGCAAATGGAATAGACCAGGAGTCTCCAACCACCGGGCCCCGGACCGGTACCGGTCCGTGGAACATTTTCTACTGGGCTGCCGGTTTGCTGGGCGCCGCCATCTTGTTTCGATGAGAAAGTGCTTCCGGGTGAGCTTTTCCGGTTGGAAAGCGGCGTTTGGGTCCTGAAGGAATCCTCGCGCCTTAGTTTCATCGAAGGGGGGGGGGCGGCTTCGAACGAAACTAAGGCGCAAGGATTCTTTCAGCACCCAAGGCAAGGCGAGCCGAGCGGCCGTCCCGAAGCCATCCCGAAGCCCATCGACAAAGGTACAAAGGAGGAGTTGAAGGTGGCGGGGAGAAGCGGGGGACGGCTGGCTGGCCGGTCGCTCGGCTCACCTTGTCATGAGTACTGATGCCGGTACTGGGTCGCGGATCATTTTGTGATGCCGGTACCGGGCCGTGGCACAAAAAAGATTGGGGGCCACTGGAATAGACAACAGGTGGAAAGCATAGGCAGTTAGCAAGACATCCCCAATAAAGGAGTGGTTCTGCAGGTGGTGACCACAGACCACTTCTCAGTTCCTATGCTTTCTGGCTGATGGTTTGGTCACTTTTGAATGCTGGCGGTGCTTTCACTCTAGTGGTAGCATGAGATAGAGTCCACAACCCACACAAGTGGCTCATCCAGGATGGCACATCAATGCGAGCTGTGGCAAGAAGGTTTGCTGTGTCAGCATAGTGTCCAGAGCATGGAGGTGCTACCCAGAGACAGGCCAGTACATCAGGAGACGTGGAGGAGGCCGGAGGAGGGCAACAACCCAGCATCAGGACCGCTACCTCCACCTTTGTGCAAGGAGGGACAGGAGGAGCACTGCCAGAGCCCTGCAAAATGACTTCCAGTGGGCCACAAATGTGCATGCGGCTGCTCAAACGGTCAGAAACAGACTCCATGAGAGTGGTATGAGGGCCCGATGTCCACAGGTGGGGGTTGTACTTACAGCCCAACACCGTGCAGGACGTTTGGCATTTGCCAGAGAACACCAAGATTGGCAAATTCGCCACTGGCACCCTGTGCTCTTCACAGATGAAAGCAGGTTCACACTGAGCACATGACAGACCTGACAGGGTCTGGAGATGCCGTGGAGAACATTCTGCTGCCTGCAATATCCTCCAGCATGACCGGTTTGGCAGTGGGTGAGTAATGGTGTGGGGTAGCATTTCTTTAGGGGGCCGCACAGCCCTCCATGTGCTCGCCAGAGGTAGCCTGACTGCCATTAGGTACCGAGATGAGATCCTCAGACCCCTTGTGAGACCATATGCTGGTGCTGTTGGTCCTGGGTTCCTCCTAATGCACGACAGTGCTAGACCTCATGTGGCTGGAGTGTGTCAGCAGTTCCTGCAAGACGAAGGCACTGATACTATGGACTGGCCTGCCCGTTCCCCAGACCTGAATCCAATTGAGCACATCTGGGACATCATGTCTCGCTCCATCCACCAACGCCACGTTGCACCAGACTGTCCAGGAGTTGGGGGATGCTTTAGTCCAGGTGTGGGAGATGATCCCTCAGGAGACCATCCGCCACCTCATCTGGAGCATGCCCAGGCATTGTAGCTAGGTCATACAGGCACGTGAAGGCCACACACACTACTGAGCCTCATTTTGACTTGTTTTAAGGACATTACATCAAAGTTGGATCAGCCTGTAGTGTTTTTTTCCACTTTAATTTTGAGTGTAACTCCAAATCCAGACCTCCATGGGTTGCTAAATTTGATTTCCATTAATAATTTTTGTGTGATTTTGTTGTCAGCACATTCAACTATGTAATGAACAAAGTATTTAATAAGAATATTTCATTCATTCATATCTAGGATATCTTATTTTTGTGTTCCCTTTATTTTTTTGAGCAGTGTACATTAAGCCCAAATAACATTCTCACAAATAATTATCAAAAGTACTTATCTGAGGATGTTGGAAAAATATATTTTGACAAGGCAATTATCTTCAAACCATGATGTGCTCAGAGGAAGGAAAAGTATGAAGGTTTTGGAATGATCTTTTCAATCCTTAGGTGAATGTTGAAAATCTGCAAAAAATCTCAAAACATGCAGCCAATGGAGACCAAATATAGTTGAGTTGGAAGAAATCTACAAAGGGGTGAGGGATAAATTCCACAAGAAATTCTTAGCTGGCTAGAGGAAACCTGAAAGCTGTTATTTCTGCCATAGGTGTACTTTATTAAACTCATATGCCATCTGACTAGAGTCCAAAGTGTAAGTGTCCAGACTTTTGCACTTGCTCTACTTTACTTTTTTTTTTTGAATCTCTGAAAAATTGTGATAAGTATGCCATCAAATTTGCAGGAAAATTGTATTCACTGAAATGTACTACTTGAACAGGGGAATTTAAATCCTTGAACATAACTGTACATGGTTTTGTCATTCTCTATAGGTAGGGTTCCAAAGTGGTGCTCTTCTTAACTAAATGCCTTAAATCTAGGCTAGTATCATCTGGGGACTTCTAGATATATTTTATTATTCTTGGCCATATTGGCTAAGATGACTGGAAGCTGAAATCCAAAACATCTAACCACCATTGATGAAGTGGTAAGAGTACAGTATTGCAGGCTAACTCTGTCTACAGCCTGGAGTTTGGTCCTGACCGACTCAAGGTTGACTCAGCCTTCTATCCTTCCGAGATTAGTAAAATGACCCAGACTGTTTGGGGCAATATACTGACATTTGTAAAATGCTCAGAGTGCTTTAAAGCAATATGGACTGGAGTCTGAGTGCTATTGCTATCCATAATCTAGGACCAGAGTATCTGACAATTCACACAACACCCATTTCCAAATCCAGGTTGGTTGATCTATTTTATAGACAAGGTAACTTCCCGGAAGTCCATCTATAATGTAATCAATTCTATCAGGCTGCAGAAATTACTTTTTCTGAAATACAAAGTTTTTCTTTGCAATTGCTGGGGGAGCATCAAAGGTGGGCCACACTGATAGCTGGCAAAGAGTGTTCCAGGTATGTGTCTAGCCAAGTCTTGTAAACACAGTCATACATATCTCAACATATAGCCTTGTTTACAGCACAATAAAAATACATTTTGGAAAAGAATTTTCTTTAAGCAAGTTACTTTCACAATCCAAGGCCATCAAATAAATTCATGCAATTCCATTTCAATGTGTTTTATTGAAAGGTACTCTTGTTGCTCATAGGCATAATAGCACATTTTGAAAATGAGTTCCTTCTTGACATTGTAAACATCTTGAACATAGTTCAGTTTCACTCTTCAAATACTGAAGGCATATAAGATACAATCACTCAATTTAATAACGTCCATAAAAAATGATAGTTTGAGGAAACTTCCCATCAGTTTTGTTCTGAAGAGCAGCTTGCAATGAGGTAGAAGTAAATGGTTTGTCCAAATGCTGGGTTAAACCAAAAACAAGTCTTCAGATTTCTGTAATTGTAGTAAGTCTTCTAAATTTGTTACTTTGATTCTAAAGGCAAGCCAGTCAGCTTTAAGTGAGACATTAGGACAATATCAAATTACACCAACAGTATAGATGCTAAAATTAAAAAGAAAAGAATTGTTGCATTGTTTTTCCAATTTTTCTTGTGGCAATTTAAACACAACCAGTAAAATGCCCATACAATAACTTAGGTAGAAAATGAAAATGAACACAATATAATTAGAAACACATTATTACAAAAAGTGATCTTAAAAAGAACCAAAGTCTAAAAGCTATTGAACGTTGAGAGTTGATTTGATAGATCACTGCTGGGTAGCAACTGTTGCTTCCTTAGGCTTTTAACATTCAAGAAATCACAATGCACAACTTAAGTTCTTTCTAGTAAAATTCACTCCAACTTTGGGCTGAACAATGCAGAACACACACTGATACAGTAGAATATATTCTCAAATTGAAAAGATAATTAAAACTGTTTAAAGTAGCATAACACTAAATTCTATGCTTTGAAATTATTCAACAATGTTTTACTGAAAGCTTGATACTAATCTAAAACCACAAACATCCCCCCAAATATGTGCTTAATATAAACAAAACTTTTTATGCTTCTAATAGCAACATGTAATTTTTTTTAATCCAAACCAGGGAAGTGCAGTAAAATTAGTTAGCTTCTGTTTGCAGTGAAATGCAGAGGTGTCATATCATGCCACCAATTTTGGTATGTGCAAGCAGAGCTAAAGACTGAGGTGAAAGACTGAGGCAAAATCTAAAATGTTAATTCTATTTTTAGACATTGCCAACATTCTCAGCTGGTGTCTGACTTGCATTCTTCAAACAGCTTTAATTTCCACAGTGAATATTATGTACTTTTCAATTTCTTTCAAATACTTGGTTACAATATGATACTTGTTAAAAATGTGTTCTTTATGTTAATACACTTTAAATATAGACCACTAAATTTGGCTCTTGAACTCTGTATGACCTAGGACCAACATATCTTTAAGTCAGTTCCAAACCTCTAATGTGAATCATGGTTTAAAGCAAAGATGGGGAACTATGGCTCTTTTATGACTTGTGCACTTCAATTCACAGAATTCCTGAGGCATCATGAAGGGGCCATAGTTCCCCACTTATGGTTTAAAGGAATTATCTAATTATGTATTGAATTTTATGTTACTGTTTCTCAATCACTACCATTACTATGAATCAGATGTAGCAACTTTCCAGTAGTAATGTTCCTACTCTCACTAGAAAATACATGCATAGCTATTTTATTAATTTAGTGACGGTTATGTTCATTTTTATATTCATTTTCTGCCACCATTTAGTTTAGAAATGCAGAATTGTTAAGGATCAAGCTCTATGATGACTCACGGTTTCACATTTCCAGAGGACAGATAAAACAAAAACAGCTGACTTGTTTGTATTTTAGCCCCAAGCATTGTTTTATAAAAAAAAGTCCTCAGTTTTATAAAGAACCTTGACAAGATTAAGAAGAGTCTTGTGGTAACACACTATATTGTTGTATAGCTCAGAGCTAAAAAAATTGTTGCAATTTAATATTCCTGAAATTAGACTTTCCATAGGTCAGAAGAATCCAACAAATTCTGCTTCAGCACCGGAAAGCTTATATCCTTATTGATTAAACATATGTTGCCAGACAATGTCCCATCCGCTCTTCTTCAGGATTACCACTAAATCAAAAAGAAATTTAAAAATTATTGTAACATAAAATACACTGATGCAAATATGGAATGAATTAGCATTGTTTACAAATAGAATAGTCTAAAAGAACGAACAGGAATTTATCTCTTTTGAAGATTCCAATTTTTAACTATTCCATTTTTATGTTATTAAACAAAATTGTGTTTATATTACAGGTAGTGCTCTACTTACAACAGCTCATTAGTGACCGTTAGAAGTTATGACACTGGAAAAAAAGTGACTTACGAACATTTTTCACACTTACGACTGTTGTATCATCCCCACAGTCACAGGATCAAAATTCATGTGAACACCTTTTGTGACCTTTCAATGGGGAAGCCAGATTCACTTAACAATCATGTTATTAACAATTGCAGTGATGCACTTAACTATGGCAAGAACATTAGTAAAACAGGCAAAATTCATGTAACAACTGTCTCACTTAGCAACAGAAATTTGGGGCTCAATTGTGATCATAAGTCAAGGACTACTTGTCCTGTAATCTTTGCTGAATGCACTGTCATGGATGGCAACTCTATCAGCAAGGCATTGCTAGAATGAAAGTTTAACACAGGGGTCCCCAACCGCCGGTCCGCGGACCGGTACCGGGCCGCGGAACAAGCCTTACCGGGCCGCTGGTTGCTGGGCGCCGCCATCTTTTTTTGGTAAAAAAGTGCTTCTGGTGAGCTTTTCCGGGTAGAAAGCTCACCGGAAGCGCTGTTTCGCCATAAAAAGATGGCGGCGCCAGCGCTTCTGGTGAGCTTTTCCGGGTAGAAAGCCATTTCTACCCGAAAAAGCTCACTGGAAACGCTGGCGCCGCCATCTTTTTTGACGAAACAGCGCTTCCGGTGACGTCACCGGAAGCGCCTTTTCGTCATAAAAAGATGGCGGCGCCCAGTTGACGCCGGTACCGGGCCGCGGCGCCCAGCTGATGCCGGAACCGGGCCGCGGCGTCGAAAAGGTTGGGGATCCCTGGTTTAACATATCCGAAAGGTTCATGGTTTTGCAAAGATGAACTCTCTATTCTCCAATTCATTAAGGTCTTTAAGTTTACAAGTAATCCTCCCTTGCTGACCACAATTGGGGATCAGCAAATCTGTCACTAAGCAACTCAGTCATAAAATGAAACACCACAACCCACTTGCAAAATTAGTTTCAACTAGACTTGCAGCTTCCAGCCAGCTTTTCTATTGACTTTGCTTGCCAGAAGCTGGCTATGAAAGTCGCAAATGGAAATTACATGACTGTAGGATGCTATGACTATTGTAAAATGTGTGCTAGTGCTAAGCACCTGAATCACAATCACATGACCATCGGGATGGTGTGATGGCAAGTTCAAAGATCTGTCTTAACCAAATAAGCAGTAAGGGAGGACTTTGTACTTATGAAAGTACATTTATATAATACAAACCATCAGAAAACTCAACATTGATATTTTTCATAGTTTAGGGCTTTACTTCTTGGCTATTACATGCCCATCTACAATGAACAGTTTTTTGTGCCATTTTAAACTGAAGGCAAGTATATTAGCAACAAAGGATGAGCTGTGTTGGCAGTTCGAATCTCATCAGGCTCAAGGTTGACTCAACCTTCCATCCTTCCAAGGTGGGGAAAATGAGGACCCAAATTGTTGGGGGCAATATGCTGACTCTATAAACAGCTTAGAGAGGGCTGTAAAGCACTGTAAAGCGGTATATAAGTCTGCTATTGCTATATGGGTAATCCTCAGGAGAGCAATTGGGATTGGCTACTATAGCGCTATGTGATGCTGTTGTTAAGTGAGACATCATGTAACTACAAACTGATTTCGCTGCCAGCTTCTCCAGACTGCTGGAAGCCTGCTGTAAAACTCTCAAATGACAATCAGGTGATTGGAGAAACAATTGTGAAAAATGTAAGTTGAAGGAACTAAAGTTAAGTTTTTCAGCACCTTTATAACTTTGAACAGTGGCTAAACAGGGCAGTCGGGAAGCAGGAACTATCGGTATACTGAAACACATTAGGAAACTTGAGAATATAGAACAGACACTAGATTTCAATAGGCTTTCAACATGTTTTCCTAGAGATTATTTTTTCTGAATCATATATACATATACATATTTTTGTGCATACAAAGTTATATCTTCCAGATTCCTAAAAAAATTGCTGCAAGTTTTACACTATTTTTATTTCAATTCAAAAATTCAGAATACTTAAACATTCTACAATTTTTTGGGGTGTAACCTTTAAATTATTCCTATGACACCGAGTCAAAAATACATTTAGAAAGTTCACCTTTTAGGGACCAGTTTCTGGGATCGTGGGAAGATGGGCAATTCTGTAATAACTGTGTTTCAGTTGCCGGGCGGTACGACCAGACACAATCCATTTTAGCTTTTGTCCACTTGGCTTGGAACATTTGCTTGAGGAATATTCTAAGAGGCACTTTGATACAAGTTCTTTCCAAAAGGAAAATTCTCTACTATTTATCTATAGAAAAAAAATGGGAAATTAAAAACCAATCAGTATCACTCATGAGCAACCAATGCATGTCAATGGTGTTCAGATAACACATAACTGACACACCTTTATTTATCATGTGAATTTAAAAATGCTTATCCAATGCATAACTTTATTTAAGAGGATTTTAGGTTATCAAGAATTTTTTACTATAAAACTCTAGAGATATAAATATGAGGTTAAAAACTGACATATAGTAGGAAAATACACCAAAATGCAATCAGGTTCACAATTATTAGTATCTGTCATAAAAATATGTGCAAGATGTTGTAGGTAAATAATTAAAAGGAGAATTCTAGAATGAAGAGTCATGAGAGATAAATGTTATGAGGAACAAAAATAATTACAGTACTGTATGCAATATATAAGTGTCTAGGAAAAAAATATAAAAGAAAGCAGTGTGTTTTAAAATAAATTTCTCAAAAATGAGATTTTAGTGTTAAGTTATTTACAATGAAATATAGTTATGCATCAGAGAAAAAATAGGAGTTAAAATTAATGTATCAACATACACATACACAGATAAAATTTGATTCATTTGCAAATATAGTCCATAAAATGAAGCTGAAAAGGCTCTCTCTTACCAAATGTATCTCTAACAGTTAAAAAAGAGGCATGCCCTTCCAAAAGATATAAAGATGTAAATACACTCTCATAAGGAATGATATCATTTTAAAAGCTTCAATCCAAATGAATTTAAAAGTCATAACAATTTTTTTTGAATTGTGTCCAGAAACATGAACTTGCCAGTGCATTTCCTACAATTAAATCCACTCAATTCTTTCATTGCAGCAGACTGAATAATCTGAACTTTCCAAATACTTTGAGAAAAATAAATGATCAGTTTATAACCAGTTTTAAGACTTGAAATGTTGTCCATTTGGTCTTTAGGAGATGCAAGTTTTCAAAGCCCTGACATTTTTGCTATCACTATTTAAGACTTCAATCTTAAAAAAAAAGTTTTTTATACCATAATCTAAAAATTAATGAATTTATATATAAAACCAGGTGGGTCAAATAAAGTAAAATCCACAAACATACATACAAGGTAATACGTGATCTGGAAAATAATGATTGTCTAGTGTGTTATAGTGGACCACATCATGGGGCTAATTCAACAAATCATGGCTAATCTATGAATTAGCCTATGAACCTCACCATATCTCCACAAAAATCTTTCTAAACTTTCTAAGCTGTAAGAGTTTTCCTTCAAAACATTCCTACTCAGCTGTCCCTTCACCACTGCTCAAATATCAGCATCCTTAATCCAGAATGATATTCTGTTTCCTAGTGTCAGGTTTGCCCTTTAGCTACCATTCTGTTGAGCAAAGAGAGAGGCGCTAAGGGACTTCCTGGCTAGAACTCTAGCTAGCCACTTTATTCCATTTAACAAGTAATTAAACAATGAAATCTATTGAACTGCACCATTTGCTATGACAAGAGTTAAGCTACACAAGTTATTTTAATGTATTAATGCAAAAAAACCATTGTAATCAAATATATTTGCAAGAGATTGGAACTGTGACTCCATATACTTGAGATACCTTTAAAAATGCATTTCCCAAAACTGGCAAAAAGGAGTCTCTTGAAAATTATTCTGTTTATCTTGCCACTACATAGTTATTTCTGCCTTTCTAACCAAACTAAATCAAACGTTTTTAGATAAAAGCAACCCTTGGCTGATACCTAGTTTAAGAAAGCAGTCATCATATTTTCACATTAATAAAGTTAGAAGTAAACATCAAACAGATATTTAATTATGGCCTACCTTGGAATGTATTCGGAGACATTGTATTATCTCAACCAATTCTGGTACTTTCTCCTCTTCAGCTTCTAGAGCCATTATTGAAAGTGCCAGTACTGAAGGCTAGTGGAAAATAAAATAATTAAGATCAATCAAATATGTTAAGCTTTTGCAAGTTGATGAATTGATCACTAATTTATCATAGTCCATACCTTTGCTTTTGAAAGAATAAGTCTGCAATGACAGGCCTTTAGTTGGGCTTCAAGTCTCTCTAATTTAAGATTGTTCCTGAATAAAACAAAGGTTAATTTATTGATTTTCAATATTTTTTATATAAGGATTAGCACAAAGTAAGAAAAAATAAATTGAGTAGTTAGAAGATATGAAAAACTAAGTCATAAAGTGATTTTTAACTTAAATCAAATGCACATTACCTAATATTTGCCAACACATCTCTAAATTCTTAAACTATAAAAAATTATCTAAATATGTTTCAGTCACAGCATATTTAAAAACAGTAATTAACAGTAGTTCAGGCTCAGATTACATTCAGCTACGAAGGAGTATTTTTGGTAGATAAATCATAAGTTCTTCAGAAATTTGCTCTGAGTGGAGAGTAGCAACAGAAGATTAGCAAAATTGAATATTGATTGCCCTTTATTTTCTGTTTTCATTTGGTTCCTCCATGCAGTTCTTGTACTATGATCAAAGCTACCCAAGTACTTTCCACTGCATTCTGCAGGATTGAGGTAAATCGGGTTATTAAAAGAGAGTTAACTCAGTTGCATTTATCTGCATGAAAATGAACTATGTTTGTATGAATAAAATAGAATAGAATAGAATAGAATAGAATAGAATAGAATAGAATAGAAT